GACTCAACAACCCAAAAGACAGCCATCTTCGGACTCAGCGCCGTCAGAACCTCAAACCACACAATCATAATTTCCCTTTTATCTGATTTCATTCTCTTCGCATTTCTTGAGCTGCTGCTTCTTATTTTTAGTTTGCACCTGCACGGGACTTCAGGAAACACAGCACCAAGCTTGACATCCGTTCAAAAGCAGCAGACGAGGAACAATTACGGAAATTGTGACGCTCATAACAAACGTGTCGGGGCATACGATGCCGGTATTTGATCCAATAACCTTCCAATCACATGCCACAGCACTAACGTAATCGGTAGAACTGATTTAAGAATATAAAATTCAATAATAGAATTTCTCCAAATGCGGTTTGACTCCTGGTACTTTACGTGACTGTGTTCCAAAACGTCAGTCATTCAAGAACCCATATCACGAACAGTCGGGAAGAAATACCTGATGTCAGTAACTTTCCTGTTTGTTCTCCATATTAAATGAATTTCAAGATTTTGCTTAGTAGCAAATTTTTACGACATGTGGAAAAGAGATTTTGCGTGCGTGTGTGTGGTCAGCGAAAACCCTAGTCTGTCTTCAATTCTTCCTTATAAGCAAAATCATGTGTTCATTTCGTGTTCTGATTGCGTTAAAGACACAATGCGCTATAATCCACTCTTTAAATTAACACGTCACATTAAAAACTCCTTTTCCGACAAGTTCTCAAGAGACAACGCTCGTGTAGGCACGTCCGAGTTCTGATCACTGCCACTTTACAGGATTTTATAACTTCATAACTATCTACATCACAGTAAACCAAAACACAAAAAAGTGTTCCATACAAAATACATATACGTCAGTTATTGTCATTAAACATTATGTCGCGTAGTCCAAAACTTATTAATTTCAAATTCTTAAATAAATTCCAACAAATAAAGTCAGGCTAATTTTCAATGCCCTATTAAAACACGGAACTTCAAAATCCTGTATTAATGATCGGGGCACCTGATGACCTCCAACAGCAGCCTAACACAGCAGAATAATAAAATTTAATTTGTAACAGTTTAACATAACCTATAATAAACCTTACATCATAACCACAACACAACACAAATTGCGTTTCGCGGGACATAGAAGATCCCGATCATTTCATACGATTCAAACAGACTTCCACAAACAGACATTTGAACCCGGAATCTCCAGGAGAAGAAGCTAACCACTTCCCAATATTCGGTGAAAACTCTACTGGAATTCACTGATCCCTAAACTGAATTCACTGGTTGAATTGTCAGTTCACATTAGTAATTATTTTACAGTCTCAATATTAACCCTAATTATAATACTAATGTCAAATGGCAATAATAAAAACTTCCCTTGAAAGAGGTACAGGGAGTGTAAAAACCACGCTCCTTACATCTCCGCCCTATAGCAGCCGCCACAAAATTCCATACTTCAAGGTCACAGCAAAATAGTACGACGAACAGAGGCGAGTAAAGACAGCTCAGAATCTGAATCGTAGCAGCGCTATATATTGACGACTCTGTACGATTTCAGCAGTTTTACCATCATCCTCAGTACCCATTTATGAAGACGCAGAATTGTATCCAGAACCATTTTGTTAAGTAGTGGGGCTAAGAAAACCCCCCGCCCCCTACAGGGAACAATCTCCAACATCCAAACCGCAGACCATCACATTACTGCCTCAACCACCACATGGAGTAATATTACGTACATACGATATGAAGTATTCAATGCTACCGGATACAGGCTCCTGGCTTTTTAAGGGCCCCCCCCCCAATCGTAAATCATACTAAAATCACGAGAAACGTCACCAAGATAAAAGATCCTAACCGAGGACGGAATTCTGAAATTCACTTCAGCATTCTCCCCATAATTAACTCTCACAAATGTCGATACTACCTAACCTCACTTCTTCATATTACTTCACTACATATACGAATTTCACTAAGGCCTTAGACAGCGCTTCACACATTTACGCAGTCGATAGAAAATTACATACCTTTCTAACGAGGGTCGGCGTAGTACCAATTAGAAGCTCATGGTCATTTCTGCATTCAAGAACCGGATCCACATTAACACTGAGGTGCCGTAAAAAAAACCTGAAATAACTCTGTACGTTTATCACGGAATAAAAACAAGGCATTTCAAAATATGCGAACTTGGTGACCCACAATCTGAGAAGCGAGTAACGTTGCGTCATCTTTGCCGGACCAGGAGTGACCAACAAACATCTAATTTCTTCCAAACATTTTTTAATTTAATACAGATTCTGACTAGGCAGAATATCAACTGAATTTCATCTGTTGGACACTGTAACTTAAACACTGGTTATTGAAAGTTAGACGTTAACTATGGCGTAAGAATAATCGGCATTAAACGTTACGCGTTACAAAACTGTTATACAAAAATCTTCTACACCATTTTCCATCACCCAAAAGAAAATAAATATCACAAAACATGAAATAACAACAACAAAAAACATGCAAGAGCAGATCAGAAAATTCACAATTTAATGTCCACTGTAGTACATAAAACATTTACAATACATAATAAACAAAAACATTTTAGGCAACAAAGTGCCTTTTCATGATTGCATTCAATATTACACTGTGTTTTGCACATCTTAATCGCTGATTAAACAAATATACAAGTTAACCTGATACTGTAAATGCCTCACCCACATTTTTATGTATTAATGTTAATTTCTCTTCACACATACTGGTTATAGTTTTATTCTGCATTAAATGTTCTACTTTAGCCTCAAAAATGTCAATTTGCAACCACTCTTCAAGATTTGTAATATATCCACTATCTTTCCAATAACTTTTTTTGTATTTCAACAAATGAATAATGGACCGCATAATATAAATGGCAGCGTTTCTCTCAGGACATGAAAATCCAATGTATTGGTCATGAGCTTCTTAGCTTACCTTAACCTCAATCTGAAATCCACCAAGAACATTTGTGATCTCCACTTCTCTTAAACAATAAAACTCAACAAATTATCTTCACAAAATGTACATGCTTCTACATTATTTAGACCAGGCAGGCACATCCCAGCTACACACGACATTCCTGTAATTAATGCCACAAACTCATAACTTTTGAGATTATACCACCATTAACCTCAAAAATGCTTGAAATATTATTTCTTAACTCTGTAGTAAAGGGAGAATCACATTCATCTATTACAACAAATAATTTAGAATCAAAAGTGCCTGGATAAATACTTGGGTAATCTTAAACCAACACGTACATCCTCCTCGTCCATACTTACGTCACCACAACTTTACAGTTTTTTCTCTCACCGTCTAATTCTCCACTCTTTAACATGTACCTCTATTGCTCAAAACATTTATGTATCATTTTTTTACTACACATAATCATAGCATCATAGGAATCAATAACATGATCACATTTAAATTTTCCATACTTATGTTTAATTCATAGCCAACAAATAAATTATAATCAGGTAATATTGGTAACCCATTCTTTTTTATTTACATTTCTAGAAAACACTTGACCATGTTCAAATCTGTCAACTTCCCAAGGCGTTGAGGTGCGTTGATTAACACATTATCCTCTTTAAGAATCTGCTTAATAAGCATCGTTTTATAATTGATGTGGTAGTTTCCACAATTTTGTAAAATCTGACAATTCAAAATGAGATAACTGGTTCTCCTGCTATATCCTGCAAATAAAAAATTACATTTGTATATGATTATTTGTATAACACAACATAAACATAAAAGCTACAGAACAAATATTATTATGATGGCAATTATGAGTGTGTAGCCATTCTGTGCCATGTGTGTTCGAGATTGGCAAAGTTCTTGTATCTCTATAATTGTCACATGGTTACAGACACCTTTTTTTGTATGCATCGTGTGTACTATAGAAACAATTATGTGCAAAGTTGTTACAGGAAACAAATATGGACTACCACCTGTTCTGTTCTGACACCACCTAGAAATGCTGGGTAAACTCACTGTTTTCATCGTCACTTCGTTATCACACATAATTTATATCTGTAGAATTAACACAAGGTCTTACACAATTGTGATTGTCATATAGTAATTTATAGTGATTATTCTATAACTTCACAACAAAATGTTTCCATACATTGTAACATATTTATTAATTTATATACAAATACTGCTTGCATTCTACAGATTTCCAAATATATTTTTGCAATTGTTATATAAAATGAAAATGTTAAATTGTATTATTATTCCATGGTGCAGGTTAGGACAACTGATCGTGAATACATAAATAGTACTGTCATATTCATTACAAAATGCTAACAGTAAAACAATAGATAGTATTAGTGAGGTCAATGCCAAGGTCGCTGTAGTTCTACGCTACGCGTATTGTTTACGTACATTTGGAAGAGAGGTTTTCTAAAAACTTATTTATGGCAAACTGAATATGACTACTTGCACAACAGAGCTGCTTTCGATAGGTTACTCACTTTTTGTGCTCGGCGTTGGATCATGTTTCATCCTGGCTTTATTCGAAGTTGTCCCACATTCATGTAAAATGCTACAAAAAATAAAAGAAGTTTTAAATGTTATACATAACCTACCACGACTGTCATTCAGTATAACACAAACCGGACTGAGATTAATATATACATGTATAACTAGCAAGCTGTAATAAACAGTTACAATACGCACCTTCCCAACACAAACCGCGCACCATCTTTCGTCCCAGCTGCTGGACAAAACACACGAACTCTTCAGCTGTTTATCCCTGACTAGGCAGGGAAGCGAAACGAAAGTTCAAGATGGCTTCCTGCTGCGTAGCCAACATCACAAAATCAAATTACCGAACTCTCATTTCAGACGAACTGTGAAGGCTAAAAAATTCTTTCACACATGTAGAACATTTTAAACACTAATATTATTTTAGCTTTGAGGATTTTTCACCATATTGTCCATGTTGTAACAGCGGCATATGTCTACGGGAGTGCAGTATTTCAAAAGTGATAGATATCACAGTGTTTAAATAACTTATGAGCAATATTTAAATACACCAAAGGCATACAATACGAGACTATTAAATAGCAGTAGGTTCAAATCTAATCTCGACCTTTTTACTGAGACGAGTATAATACACTTGAAGATATTTAAGTTCACTTATATTATTTTTATTCCATATATTGTATACCTCCATTCATTTCAGAAAATCCAAACACTTGTAAATATTCCGGTTTTAGTTACTTTTTTTGCAATTCTACGGAAATAAAAATTTCTCAGTCCCCACAGACGATGAAAAAAAAATTCTTTGCGATTCTTATAAAAATCCAATTCAGACTGCACTAGAAATCTCTGGTGGTCGAAACCAAATGTTTATAAATTCTGAAATAAGCCCAAAATCTCCCAACTAAGTCTACGTTATTCATTTTCTGGGGCAGAAACCGATCGGGAAATTCATATTTTTAAAAAATTTACAGTTTTTGAATGTTTCCCCCTGTTTTCTGCAGTGAATTTTTGAGATTTGTATGAAAACTCATTTTCCCAGTTCTCAGTATGCTAGAAGTGGCAATCTCTTTACTATAGCATAGGATCAGCTCAGATCTTGTTAAGAATTTAAAACACTCCTAAAATATGAAGCCAGGAAAGAGGAATACAGACTTCCAACGCAAAGCAGACAAACTAACCGTGTTCGAGCGGTGTCGTTTTCGCCTACATGATGGAGGTCGAGTCAATATTTTCCAATATTTAACACAGTGACTCCACAAACAGACAGCCATTTCAAGAACTTTCACATCGTAAATCGCTAGAACACATGGTTCAAGTTGTTTACAGTACATATCTCGAAATGGCGGACTATATCACCACAAAATAGTGGGTGTTGTATTACTTCCATTATTTATTTTAACGGACACACTGATTCGAATGGTATCAGACTAACGGACAATCACAGGCTTGTTTGGGAAATCCTATGCATTGTACATAACCATGTCCTATGACAGGAACAAGGTTGAGAACTCTTCATTATTATTGTGACAACGTTCCTAGCCCATTACTTGCAGTATGGACAATGAATACTAGATGAATTGATGTTTGATTAATCGACTATTGCGTAATTTCAATTCGATTTGTTGACAGATGCAACGACTACTCCTCGTTTGTTCTCGTTTTGGCATGTGCGCTGTGCATTATTCTTATGTTTCTTAGTTCTAATAACACGCACATCAACGCTGGTTTTTAGTATCGCGTATTGTCCCAGGAGCGCGCTGTCTCTCCTGCTATGAACTGTTCTGTTCATAATACAACGTATAATAATGGAAGAAAGAAAGAAATGCAGGAGAGAGTAAAAGAAATGAGCAAACACAGACGCTGAAAGTACGGAAACACAGAGATAAAAATAAATACTGTTTGGATATCTGTTGAAGCAGCCGCGCAGACCAAGACTGGAAACACAGAGATAAAAATAAATACTGTCTGGATATCTGTTGAAGCAGTCGCGCAAACCAAGACTGTTTTTTTTTTATTTCAAAAGCCACCTGTTACAATGCAACAAAAAATTTCCCTTTTAAGTTCACTGTGCTAAATTTAATTTGCGATTTAAACATAGTTACTTTGAAAATCTAATTCGTCCTCTACTTAACTGGCATTTCAGAAATACGAAACGCTAAGAAAGAAGGCACGTGTGTCCTTATAAATCTGTCACATCTCTATAATTGGACATTTCACGACTTAAATGTCGAACTGTTGATCTTGAATTTTCCCCCCGCACGATAATTAAACGTCTGTCAGTACGTAATGGGCGTTGCTATGTATATATCCTGTTGGAACAATCGATCAACAACACAGCGCGAACTTGCACACATTCTGTATCTGTTAACATGTCAGACACCTTTTAGACAACACCACAATTGGAAGCCAACTTCCACGCTTAATTTTTTGGATCGATTTCTTGTCTTGAGACAAAGATTTCGACTATATCTTCGTTTCGCAAGGATTAAATTGAAAACTTTATAAAATAACACCTTCGTGTAGAGAATCTTTAAGGACACTTTTCAGATAGGTTTTCGTTCAACACATATGATACGCCTAAACAGAAACACAGCTAAGCAGATTAAACCCTTAAAAGTTAAAAAAATACATTAAACCTTAATGATGGTCAGATGATAACGTGAGACATAATAATGGGTAAGTCACAATCAGATCCAGATTTAAATAAATCGTGAGTCTAAAATGAGCTCAC